ATTGGGGTTTTTTTCCAAACACTTGTGAAAACAGTTCTGTTCATTTGAACTTTATAAAAACATGTTGTTACAAAATTATACCACAAGACAAATGTAAGTGGACAACAATCCTTCAACAGCAAGTTTGAACAAAGCATGGCATTGTCTTTCTCAAGAGGAAATGTCAAAAGAACTCTTGCATTTGACAGATAGATAACCTAGATAAACCTGCCCAACTCCTGGATGCTCACAGCTGCTGTTCAAATAGATAACGCTTCCTGGAATTAATTCAAAGCCAACCTGGGCAGCATTACACAAATAGCCTGTCAGTATCTAAGGTTATATTGCTTTCCCCTTCATTAAAACTAGAAAGCAAGGAAAGCAAGATAAAGTCTAAAACAACTTCATCAGATTAAATGGCCCAAATCTAACACCAAGTGAGACATGGAGGAACCCACTTGTCAATGGACTTGAGTGAGCTTCATCCTGGGTTAGATTTTAAGCATTTCTCAAAGCATTTCTTCTTGTTGGAATGCCCAACATTAATGATTATCCCAAAGATGTATCATGAGTTGGTGGGCTATAGGTACTTGAGAATTTTAGTTGCATATCAATTGATATAATTTTGATCATTTTGATGATACAATTTAGGGGAAGTTGTATGTAAACTATGGTAATCTGATCAATTACACAAAGTTTGAAACAATCCTTGAGCCACTGTCATTGGTTTGGAAATTGCATTTGGTTGTTCTCCTCATTCCTATGATACTGACCAGTGGAAAAGTAGACTATTATGATAACAAATCATAAATAAATGAGCTAAGAAAGCTAAGGGAAACCATTTGTTTCCAACAGCTTTGAGGTTAGCTGGTACTTAACCATTTTACTGTTGTTAGTTGTGCTTTGATATTTTTTCAGTCTGGCTATTCTTGCTTTTACTATTGGGTCTCTTAATCACTGTGTAAAGGGAAGCTCATATTATCAGCTGTTTCATCCATGGGTTACAATTGCCGGGTAAATGACAAGCTGACTATCTCCTCTGCTAGGACCAAAATAATGAAACTGAAATGCAATAAGATGATATGTTGAAGTATCCCTTGAGGAACATGTGATGTCTAATGATTCTGGAACTGTGATCAGGAATTAGAATGCTAAAGCTGTGACTATCATATCACCAATGCGCTGCTACCCACAATGTTGAATTGGGCTGACTCTTGGTTGCATGTGAAGTAGGGTCTTCCTGGATAAATGTATACTATACAGGTATACCTCATTTAGCGACTGCCTCATATAGTGACCATTCACAGTTACAACATTGATGAAAAAGTAACTTTGCAACCAATCTTCGCATTTACAACCTCTGTAAAGGACCTTTGACCTTCAGCAAAGGACAGCTGAAGTAAGATCGTAAGCACAGTCATAGTTTCATTAAGCAGCCCCTTTGCTTAACAACTAAGTTGCCGGTCCCAATTGTGGTCACTAAATGAGGACTACCTGTATGATGCTGCCTTGTACTGAGCTGGGCCATTGGACTATGCAGTTAGATTGTAATGCTATTTACCTTGGCAGCAGTTCTGTTCATTATCAGCAGATGTTTTCCCACTTCCACTGAGAACCTTACTGATTTGGAAGACCAGTGATTCTACATGGAAGACCTGTTCTCTATCAGTGAACTACGCCTCTTTCCTTTTGAAAAGTATTTTCCTCTTTTGTCCAGAGTAGGGCCTGTATCACTAATGTAGCCAACTGTAGTCTAAGTTCTTTTTACTTTTCTCTGAATTAAAAAAAAATAGTGCAGGTTCCAACTCTGGTGTAGAAATTTTCTGAGTTAAGATGCAGATCCTCACATCTACACAGACATTGCAACACAGGGTTGAGAATCCCAGAGCTTGCATAAAATTACTGGCAGTGATATGCCAATGCAATTCTAATTAAGGTTCAAGATTCCTTCTCTCTGGCCATTTTTGTTACTGATTACTAAATTTTGTGTTGCGCAGCTTAATTACATTCCTTTGTGTAGCTATGACACCAGCAGTAATATTAAAGGTAAAATATACATCTTTCTCATTTTCCTTCTTTTTTCTAGTATTCTTTCTTGTCTTTTTCTCCTCCTCCTCCTCCTTCTCCTCTTTTGGTTTCTTTCATGTGGTAAAATTGTTTGAACAGTCTCTTCACAATCCTGCTCTCAGAGTAGTATTCAGTCAAGTTCCTTGGGCCCATCACATGTTGGCATTGCAAGAACTTTGAGGGCACTTTAACTCATATATTATGGTCATGCTCTTCCTTACACTCCTTTGGGAGTAAGGCTATATAATACGTTGATAGAATTATTGAGAAAACTCTCGTTTTTAAAGATAAGTATATTGTACTGAATTGTACTACTTGGAATTTAACATGTTTAGAACAAAGATGGGTTTTTCATGTTCTAATAATAGCAAAATGAATAATCCTTAAGAGATGAAAAAATACTATAATTCCACATTTAAAGACTGGATTTCAGAGATCTTACTTCACATGCAACCAGTGACAACAATTTTTGAGAAAATTATATATTAGGTTAATCAGAAAATGTCTTTCCCTTTGGAAAAAAATCTTGGATAGGCTTGGTCAACATTGAAAGCTTAATTCTTGTTTTTATTTAAAAAAAAAACTTAAAAGATCAGATGAACTAAGGATATAGTAGTAATTAGTTTGCTTTTGTATTTTCTTGTTATGTAATGTTTTTCTTTCCTTTTGTTTTTGTGTATTTAAATTGTTTATTTTTATTTTACATTATTTTATGTTTGTTAGTATTTATTAATCCATATTCAAACAATCTGGTTAAAAATATATATATAAACAAGGATCCTTGCAGAAGACAAGACCAGAATTTTTAGTTTTTCTTTAAAGAGAGAAGCTAGATTATGCACACAGGATATCCAAAAGTGAGGCTGCAGGCATCCACTTATGATCCATGTTTATTCAAAAATAAATCCTGTTTACTGCCATGAACTGCAGTTTGGTACAGATAGACATATTAAACACTATTTCAAAACAAAACAGGATTTAAAGAATCTTGATTATATATAGGAAGTTTCAGAAGTATGGCAAGAAGAGAGTCTTAATTTTATCTGGCCCCCTGTTAAAATTGGAACTCAGAACCAATGTTGAAGGACCCATTGTCTGAGAGAAGCCTTTACTATGTGCAGAACATGCTTTACCCACCACTCTGTAAAGTGAGCTTGTCATCACATGGTCTAGTGCAGCATTTCTCAACCTTGGGAACTTTTAAGATGTGTGGACTTCAACTTTCAGAATTCCTCAGCCAGCATGGCTGGCTGGGCAAAATTCTGGGAATTCAAGTCCATACATCTTAAAGTTCCCAAGGTTGAGAAACAGTGGTCTAGTATTAGGTCTTCCAGAAACCTTCCAGAAAGTATCCACTCCACTTGCTAGATATTAGCAAGAAATTGAAAGGCATTAAATTTTTCCAATAGGTTCAGTCCACTCATTTACTCCAATGCATGTCCTGTGATTTTATAATGATCTTACTATGAGTTAGGCAGTCAAGGAACATTTTTGTAGCTAAAACCCCAAAATCCATGAGAACACAAGGTTCTTTTTTCTTTCTGCACAGTGAATAAGTAAAATAGCAGTACTCCATGAATGGACAAGTTTTCACTTTCTACTTCCAAAACTGGGAAAATCCTAATTGAATGTTCAGTTTAAGAATAATAAAATCATAGAATTTGGAAGGAGCCATTGAGGCCATTTAATCCAACCTCCTGCTCAGTGCTTTATGTGCTTCTTGGCCCATAACACTCATTTAAATGTAAGAAATTGCCTATATTCATATTGTTTACAAAATTTATCTATCTAGCCCAGTATTTCTCAACCTTGGCAAGTTTAAGATGTCTGGACTTCAACTCCCAGAATTCCCCAGCCAGCCATGCCAGCTGGGG